TTTACTATAGAGTTTTAGCCGGCAACGGCGAATGGCACGGTGGATTGGGTTCACCGACAATGTTTTCTGGAAGTATTCCTGAGCCCATGTTGTGATTTCCATTACAGTAGCATTCCTGTATGTGATGCAGTGCCGTCTAAGGGCCCGAAGATCACGGGCATCCAGTATGGTTTTCCGGCCTTGACCCTTACGCACAGAGATTGTTCCAGATTCTCTGAATCTTTGGATGATATTATGCACTGTAGATGATGATAACTTCAAACTCTTTGCAATTTTTCTCTGAGAAACTCTTTTCTGATATTGCTCCACTATTTTTCGCCGCAGCATTGGGGGCATTGGTGATCCTCTGCCCATCTTGACTTCTGAGAGACACTGCCACTCTGAGAGGCTCTTTTTATACCCAATCATGTTGCCAATTGACCTAATAAGTTGCAAATTGGTCTTCCAGCTGTTCCTTATATGTACATTTAACTTTTCCGGCCTCTTATTGCTACCTGTCCCAACTTTTTTGGAATGTGTAGCTCTCATGAAATCCAAAATGAGCCAATATTTGGCATGACATTTCAAAATGTCTCACTTTCAACATTTGATGTGTTATCTATATTCTATTGTGAATAAAATATAAGTGTATGAGATTTGTAAATTATTCCATTCCTTTTTTACTCACAATTTGTACAGTGTCCCAACTTTTTTGGAATTGGGTTTGTATATATATAGATATATTAAATGCTGTACTTCTGAGTATTTTATTCAACAAAGAATTCTGAAAAATGTATCCGTTTTCCACAAAAATAATAAGCAGCATAACTGTTTTCATTTATAATAATAAGACTTGAGCACCAAATCAGTATATTAGACTTCTTTCAAAGATTGAAAATTTGTATGTATCACAACTACTGTTCAAGTTTTGAACAGTAACATACTGTATATTCAAAAACATGGTAAGTTTTATCGGTGGACTTAGACCAATAAAGTCTGAAGATAATTACAGTTTATACCAGAAGTAAGTGCCTTAATAGAATTTTATTGCAAACATTTTTAAAACAAGGTAATGAGATATGATTGGATGCTCAAAGGTTGTTGTGCAATGATGTTGATAGGTTTTTTTCTTATTAGGTTTCCAGAAATAGTGTTATTTAATGTGTGTGTGTGTGTGTGTGTGTGTGTGTGTGTGTGTGTGTGTGTGTGTGCGAATTAGTAAGCGAATTATCAATTTAGGTCCAGTTCATCCTGGTGCTGGGAGTCCGAATCCTCAGCCTAGTGGTGCCAGAGTTTCCTGTGGCCACTGTGGAAACACTTTTCTAGTAAGAACTTCTCATATTCATGTACATTTACAATATTTCAGAGCTCTTTATCAATTAATTTGCCTTAATAATAGCCTTAATACTGTAGCTGTGACAGTGTCTCTCTGTTGTTGATTTAGTGGACAGAATTTACAGATCGGACATTGGCTCGCTGTCCACACTGCAGAAAAGTGTATGTTAAATACTATCAATAGACCTTCCTCTATTTAGTACCACAAAGTTACATACACTACAAGTAGAATAATAACATGTAGTTCCATTCTTTTCATCCATATAGTTCATCGATTGGCCAGAGGTACCCTAGAAAGCGGAGTTTAATATGTTTCCTGTTGTGCTTGATCTTCATCATAACAACTGCAGGATTGATTGTAAGAATAAAATAATTTTAGAGTTCTTTATTTCAAAGAGCATCATCATTTCAGAATACCAGGAATCCTTCTTTTCTCTGTTCTGTTTCTCTCTTTGTAGGCTGGCTCCTGGGGGAAGGCACCTAAATATAAGGGCATTTATGCATCCTGGGTATTTTTCATTCTCCTGGTGCTGAGCACTTTGGTCAGAGCTCTTCACTGGGCCTGCATGAAAATCAGTGAACCGCTGCACAGCTACTCGTAATAGGAGAGATGAATGAGGAGGAGGTAGAGATGAAGTGTAAGAGACAAGAATAAGGAGAAAAGATGTTAATAGTGTGATGCTCTGTCCAAAAGGATGAAGACCTGTCAGGAAACCCATCCAAGTCATATTTCACCCCAAAATCAATGCAAAAAAAAAAAGTAGTAATAATAATAAAAATTATTATTATTCCTTTTGATTTTGGGGTGAAGTGTAACTTGGACACTTTTCGGGAGAACTTGCACAATTGGTGGCTGACTAAATACTTTTTTGCCCCACTGTATATATATAAATATATATATATATATATATATTCTCTAAACTAATTTCAAACTCAATTTGTCTGCATTCCTAATGGGTATCTGCTTCCTAAACACTGCACAAATAGAAAAGGCATAGACAAATAAATATTTCATTGTCAGTCGTTGCACAATCAGTAACTGCTGAAACAGGCCATTTTTGCACTACGAATTGACTCTGACATCACTCTGGTGTCACAAAAATATGTTGAAGCATTGCAGTTAGAACGAGACTGTGGCTGAATTGCTGACAGAAAGTGTAAGTGCCTCACTTGACAGTGTGCTCTGTTGTTATAACTTATAAAACTATTTTTTTTTTTCATTATATGAAGGAACAGCAACTTTTAGCTATGTTGAAAATTGTACCCTGACCTGGCACCTCAAATTTAAGGTATGAGCAAAAAAAAAAAGTAAATGAAAACTCCACACTGACACATTTGGAAGGGTTCAAAGACAATGGAAAAGCAAAAGCTGATCTTTTTTTAGATGGTGCATTTTAGTACACTTTAACGTCACATATTATTGGAACGTGCAATAGACTGACTCATCAATGAATTGATTGTTCTGTCAGTGTAGTTTATTGCTTTTCCGTGGATATTATTCACTGGATGTTTTTTTTAAAATAATGTTTGTGTCCCAGGGTTTGACCAAACCTTTGTCTTCCTTTTCTTCCTCCTGTAGCATTCAGCATGTCTTACTGTGTATCTGCACCCTCAAATACAGCGTAGGCACCAAATTATTCTTTGCTTACTAACTAAAAATGCTCAAACATCTGACACAATGCAATATTACAGGTATTTTTGAGATTTCTAACAATCCTTATATTACTTTTGTTGATGCTTTTTTTTAAATCAGGCATCACTGCTCATTATTTGTACCTGTCTGTGGTTGTATAGCTGCATTAATATATTCTTCCTTGTTATAAAGACCTTCAACATTACCGAGTAGAGTAGTACAGGCAGAGATTACAGTTTTGACGACTAAAAAATGCTAGTGAATGTAAATACTCATCAAATAGAATCGCTGTGATTAACTTAATATTTATACTTTCAGAAAAAAATGTGCAAAAATGGTACATTTAAAACATGTACAGCAGCTTGTCACTGGGACAACATTATACCTTATCTAGCTGAAATAAATACACATTAGTACCTTAGAGTAGTAATATGTACCCTTAATGTAATACTAGAACCTTTAATAGGGGTAAGGGGTAAATAAGGTACAAAGTTGTCCATTTAAGGGTACTGCCCAGGTGACAAGCTGTTGTACTATTTAAAGGTACAATTTTTTCCCATTTATTCAGAAAGTCTAATGCGATGTAAATATACCGGCTGACCAATCTCATAGGCTTGTTTCCAGCTGAAATGAACTCCTTGCACTGCACTCTTCATGAAGATACAGATATACAGTATAGTAATAGATATACTAGTACCTGTACCTATTCTGTGAAATGCAGACGTGACCAGTAAGTGTTTATTTTTGCAGAGTTTGATTTGTTTACATGAGTGTGCAGATTTACTCTTTAATTTTTGTTGAAAATGTTATATAAATATCTATATATATTGTTGCACTACATTTTAGTGATTTTGCTAACAGATTCTACTCTTGTCATTGTTGATTTTGTTGTTGATCATTTTTGTATGTTCCTTTGTGACTAAATTGTTTTAAAAAATCTCTAAATATTTGTGTGACTGCTTGCACAATTATAATAACAGACAAGTGTAATGAAATACTGTAATGAGGTGAAACTCATCTGTTTGGTAAGTTTCCAAATGATAACCGATTCAGTGAGTCAAATGTTAACATTTGAAGGAATAGTTCACCCAAAAAAAAAAAAATTGTCATAATTTACTCACCCTGAGGTTGTTCCAAACCTGTATGCATTTCTTTAATCTGCTGATTGCAGAATTTTCATTTTTGGGTAACTATCCCTTTAATGAGACAAACACCAATGCTCTTTTTGGCTAAATTGATTTATGCGACTTGCAGTACATTCAAGGTAGGTCTATACATTTTATCAGTTCATGTGCTTCTGTTTGAGCTACAAGAATGATACAAAAAAATTATGAAATCCGTGATGTGATTTTTGGCATTAAAAGTGTGCAAGTGATTATCTTGGCAGCCAGTTAGAAGTTGAGTGCTAAGGTTAAAGTATGCTAACATTCAACTGAAACTTGTAGTGCTAAATGAGCATGACCTTGTAATAAATTACATACCTCATTTATTGACAAATTTTCACATCCTTGCAAAAATGTTTTTAAATACATATCACTACGGTAGCACACATGTGAGAATGTTTTCCAGCCACACAAACATCTGAAAATCTGTTTAAATTTTCAGCTAACAGAGTAATTATTAGTTACATTATTGTGGACTTTGCTTTACTTTTCCTGAAAATTTAGATTTACTTTAAATCACCACAGAATGATTATTCACTCAGTACATATTATGGAATAATAACTAATTAAAAGAATGACACTTTAGTCGCTGTTTACACACCCCCATGTTTTCAAAATCCTTGGACCACAGTTTTGAAGGATATCCCATCCACTATATTCATGTCTGATTTATATGTTTCGTCTTTTCACTGCGATCTTTTCACTTGATCCATTTCACAAAGCTGTCCTGAATGATGCATTCTTCCTTTTCTTTTTTCTGTTCCATAGAAGAAAGTCAGTCATATAGGTTTGGAATGACATTGGGGTGAGTAAATGATAACAGAATTTTCATTTCGGGGTAACCTATCCCTTTAAAGAAAATTCTAAGCAGCTTACAACAAAATATAACTTTAGATCAGAGTTGCAAATAGACATGAAATATTTCTCTTTTTTTAAATTATTATTTACAGTAATATTACCTCATGTCACCGGATTAATTATGTCCCCTCTCTGTTTTTGTTACTACCCCACACTCTCAGAAAAGAAAAAGAAAAAAATAGTACAAAAGCTGTCACTGGGGCAGTACCCTTTCAAAAGTTACTAATATGTATCTGCATATGTATCATATCCATGGAAGCTTTCCATTCTACAAAAGGTTCTTTAGTGGAAAAACGTTCTTTAGATTATTAAAATGTTCTTCATACTTAGACAAAAATGGTTCTAAGAATGGTTCACTGAAAGCACCTTTGGTGAACCAAAAATATTTTTTCTGTGGCATCACTGCATTATTTGTTGAGCTCCATCAATCATGGCCAAGGTTCAAGATTCTACACATAGCTACAACTTCATCACCTTAACAGTGGTGAGAGTTGTATTCTTCTCATCATTTGGGCAGTCCAAGTCCTCCTCCTCTCCATCCTCTTCATCAAGTTGGAGGCTTCCAGAAGAAAAGCACATCCGTGCCAGAGGACCAGAACGTACCACTTTACCCAGTGCAGGAAAGTAGGGGTAAAAGGTGTCTGAATCCGAATCACTATAACTACCTGTGCAGAGTACACATACAGAAGTGGGTCTTTCTGGGAAAGGGGCAGGACTTAGAGGAAGGTAGGTGGGCCTGGTAAGAATCTGATGTCGAGAAAGGTGTGGATAATATCCCAGCGGGCGGTATTCAGATGCGTAGGCAGTGGCATTTGAGGCAAGTGTCGGTCGCTGATATTTGAAGTCTGGTTGGCTTGAAGCTCGATGTGGCAAACCGGTCTGAAAGGTGGAGTCGTCACTGTAATGGCCTGCTTCCACTCCACTCAAGTCCAGTTTACTATTCAACCCAGCCCTTAGTCCTCCTCTGGGGAACATTCTCGATTCTCCCTGGCCAGTGGAACGGAGCCTTTCCTGCTGCTTCTGTAGTTGTGGTGACAAGCAAGAGGACGGCAAGGACGAGTGAGCAGTTTGTCTGGGCAGGTATTGCAGAGGCACATGGTTGTGATGGGTTTGAGGGAGACGGTCTAGGGATGAGGACGTATGGTCTTGCAGTAGGTACGGGTGAGTGGCGAGTGGGAAAGTTGGCAGCACTGGGTGGAACTGGAGGTGGGGTGTATTAGGATAGAGAAGCACGAGATGTTGGGCGCTAGGAGACAATCTTCTCTTTGCCTTTTGTCTCTGAGCTCCTCTACCACGATGTTCCGCTCCTGATGTGGAAAGGGAACGAAGCTTGGGCGAGGCAGAGTTGCTTGAGAAGGCAGGATTTCTTGACAAGGGCCTGGATCGTTCCAGCTCATTAGCGAACATGACTTCCACAGCGGAAAGACTGCGCTTTGCTACGCCTGTCTGTTCGCTGTGTTGCCCGGCAACGGTTGGGTCGGGAGGTAGATGCTCATACAGCTATGGAAGAAAGAAACAAATTTGAGAAACATGATCCAAAAACACATCCCAAATGTATGTAACTAGTACAATACCTGCTTAGAGACATCAGTCAGTATGTCAGGAGAGGATCTGCACTGTCGTGTGACATATTCAGACTTGCAGTAACTTCTGAAAAAAGTGCAAAACAGGCTCTAGATGCATTGAAAAGCGAACCACTACAGCACTGTTCAATTCCCTAAAGACTATATTCTTGTAACTTAAAAGTGAAAATATTAAAACACATTGCAGTTTAAATGTTCAAAGTCAACTTTACACCATTTGTAAGTTGTCTTTCTCAAAAGATGTAAAATCTGTGGTGTATTTGGCATTGTTCTGTTGGTTCCCATCCCAAATGGTACACTCGATGTGTACTTGGGGTCTTAAGGACTCTAAATGGTCATCACTTGTCCGTTCATGAAATTGTAGGGTGTCCCATTTGAAGTTTTCAGATAGTGTGTTCATGAGGACCTTTGTTTGAGTGGCTCAACACAGTAATGTTGACTCAACCATTGGTGTTAGTTCAGGATTTCCGAATTGTCTAATCCAACAGAAGACAGCTAGAGTTATATAATAATTATATAATTTTTCCTATTCCGATTATTCACACTAGTGGTCCAGAAATTACAAGTACAATTTATGCACAAATGTATTCCCCCAACATAAAACACCCAGTATAATATCTTACCTTTCAAAGGGCAAATGTTTCTTGTTTCCAGAGCCCACACACTCAAGAAGTTGCTTCTGTGTCCTGCCACTACAATACCACAATCATAAGAATAAAAGGAGACAATTGTTACTGACATAAATATTAAATATTGAACAGTAGAGTGTATTGCTGTAAAAACAAGCTGTCATTCTATTGTGACAATCCATTTTTCTGCTGCTAAAACTAAATATTCATTTTTGATATAAAATCCAGCTGTGTATGATGCATCATATCCTGAACATGATCAATGATTGTCAATACATGAATTAAACTCACTCAAAATGAGTTTCTGACATGGTTTCAACACAACATTTTTATTATGCTGCTGTTTTATTATACGGTTTCAATTTCACACATATAAACCAATGACTAAAGTCTCTAGATGTGTTTAGCAAAGAAGATTATAACTACTCTGTTTAATATCTTCATTACAATCTCTCGGAGGGTTTATGGAAGATGATTACGATGGATCATAGCATAAAGTATTAGACTACTGGGGCTTCTCATTGCATTCCATAAATCTAAAGTCTCTCTGTCACATACCTGTATCTGAAACTAGATCCTTTGCTAGACAGAATGGACTTCTGATGTGACTTGGGCTCTTCGACAAGTCTGAAGAAAGCATGATACTCCACACACATTTTCCAGAATGCCTTACACACATCTCTGCCGGCCATGGAAAACTCAACAGTGTCTCTCCTTGAAGACTAACACAATAAGAGTTGAGTGAATGACATATGAGGATTTTACTAAACATTCCATGCAATATTCATTTTGTTGATTTTTAAAGCATTTCCAGACTCAAATTAAATGCTTTCGGCCTGAAGATAGCTTAGAAATATATTCCAATATCAATGGCAATTTTACCACTTCATTGTTGTTGATTATTTAGGAAAATAAACTAAATTTGTGCATCTGCCTTCTTGCATTTTACATTGTTTATCTTTTTTTAATTGTCTAATCATACTGTTATCTCTCATGATAAATTGCTTGTGCTGCTCCTCATTTGTAAATCTGTCAGCTTTGTATAAATTGTTTGCTAAATGACTAAATGTAAATCTAGAAGTTAGCACAAACATTGCAGATATAATATATAAAGATTAAGATTATTTTAAGTGTTGCTGAGGAACTATTTTATACTTTTCCCCACAGATTCCGATGTAAAAAACAGCTGTTGCTATGGAGGAATTGTTTGTGTCTCACCCCAGTCTCAGTGTGGAGTTTGATCAGGAAATGTTTCCTCTTGAAGCTCAGCTTTCGGATCTTGGCCCAGCTGAAGGTATTGATCTTTGTGTTTCCCTGATAACGGTATATTTCTGAGCTGCATTTAAGGTTGTGTATATTTGTTTTTGTGTGTGTTTCCAATTATAAGGCTAAAGCGTACGCATATATTTTTGTACAGTACCTGAAAAACGAGCACTCCCATATGTGTGACAGCGAGGTTGATCCTCATGCCTTCTCCATCATGGGCAGGGTGAGGGCGGATCCCGTACATGTCCATTTTCCGGGCAACCTCCAGCAAATGCACATCTGATTCAGCAGGAGTGTAACCTCTGACCCCAAAAACCATATTATTAGATGTTCAAGTACTCATTTGGGTTTTGATTTGGCGACTTAAGTCTATCATAGCATATCATGTGCATTCAGTGCTGGGTAGTATCTAAATTATATGCAGTCTGGATTATGTAATCAGATTCCAAAAATCGTTTATCACTTACATATGTTTGAAAAGTCCTCCAGTTTTATGGAATTGCACACACAGACCAGCCACTAGTCAGGTGACTATAATTACATGGAAACACAGTTTTTGACCACTGGATTTATTTTAATTTTAGATTTTTATGATTAAATTAACTATTAGCCTTTCATTAACTTATGAACTCCCTGCAGTTCCTTCACAAAACCCAGTTTTGTAAACCACAATGTAATGTTTAATGCACTGCATGTTGTATTTTTATATCAATATGGTACACAATTATCTGATTTAAATCAATGTGATAAAGTCAAAGGTTAGGTCAAAAGTAAGCAGAAATAATAATAAAAAAAATAGTCTGATTACATTACCTAACATTATAATTTGTAATCAGTAATGGATTACAATTTGTAAGTAATCTACCAAGCACTGTGTACAGTATAGGACCTGCATGTTAATGGAAATATTATTATTTTAAACCTTCGACCAGGCCGCTGGATTCCGCTTTTTGGGCTGGCGGGTGGATCCTTACACTGGTATGCTTATATGGTGTGTAGCTGTATGTTACCTGTGCTTCTTGTGAAAGCGAATGATTTTGTGGTCCAAGTACTCTTGGTTTGGCACATATTGCTTATTTTCAAGATCATGAGCGTCCAACTCCTCGTCATAGTCCCCAATTTGTGCTACAAATGGGGACAGAGAGAGAAAGATATAATGTGTATGTGATAATCAAACAAGATAAATCAATCAAGATTTGAAAGCTCTGAATTTTGCTGGCATGTAAACTTTCAATGAGACCTACCTTGCAGTATATGAGAGACCAGCAGGGCGGCGCTGTTATCGTTACAGGTAAGGCTGCCATTTGACAGATCCTGTTTAATCTGAAGGGCAAACAGATACCTGTATAAAAGAGGCAGCTGTCAGACTGAACGCATATCACCTATCACCATCTGTTTATCTGCCTTTAATCATGTGCGTGTGCTTTACCTGGTTAAGCCTCTCTGCAGTTGTCCTGGGTCAGGAGGGAAAAGCTTCACTATAAAATGGAACGCCACATCACTGATATCTATGGGTGGGAAGCACACAATCTAATTTGACCCATAAAACTGGCATTAAGCCAACTTTATTAATAAGCTTAATATTCACTAAAGGAAAAGGATAGTGAAAAGTGATGGTCTAATGGTTCAACATCTGTGATGGTAAATAAAAGGTTCAATTCAGGAAAGACCTGAATCAATAACGGCCAAATACTGACTTCTGAGATTACTTATTAGGGTCTACAGTAAGCATCTAGGGTAGGGAAAAGTGGGGTAAGATGTGTCAGCTGCATTTTTAGTTGTTCATGTAGTTTTCTACATGGCCAGCATAATGAGTGTTATGCCAAAGTGTTTCGGGGTGAGTTTGATCACTAAATTGTTGAATAATTTTTTATGGAAACCCTATTTTATGGCTCACTGTTGTAGATGCTCTATTCTAGTTTATAATGATAGCAGATACCCTAAAATATATTGAGTATATTAAATTAACATCTTAATCCTTGCCAATAGTAAAACTTAAAAACTGGTACGTCATTCCCCATTCACCACCACTGTAAGTTAGCATAAGTATTTGCTGAACAATTAATAATAAGAAAATTAACCAAGTGGACCATGTCACAACAAAACAAAAACACAAATGACACAAGAAAACTCACTTTTGATTTGCTTAGCCACTGGTTTCAGGAGTTCAAGCCAGACCTGTTGAAGAAACGTTAGCAAATACAAAGTTATATCATGAAACTCAAGGTTGACACAGGCCGATAGGTTCTAACTCAATCTGATATAACCACATCATTATTCGCATTGCACAGCTACGTGGTTACTTTTTGCATCAGCAGCTAATGAGCTTGCTGCTCAACATTCAAATACTTGGCTAGTGCTTGCTGTAGCAGTGTGCTTTAGAAACCCTCCAACTTCCCCAGCTCCACCTGTATAGATCTGATACGGGTAATTTCATGTATGTTATACAGCAGGGGTGCCCAACCCTGCTCCTGGCGATCGACTGTCCTGCAAAGTTTAGCTCCAACTCTAGTCAAAAACACCTGCCTTTAATTTTTAAGTGATCCTGAATACCCTAATTAGTTGCTTCAGGTGTGTTTGATTAGGGTTGGAGCTGAACTTTGCAGGAGAGTCGATCGCCAGGAGCAGGGTTGGGCACTCCTGTTATACAGTATATGGGGGTTATTTAATTTATGTAATATGTACAGCAGCAGTATTTTCAACATGCTCACAGCAGCATGCCTGTGGATGTATTGGCAGTAGCAAGTCTCTGTACTTGCTCTGCCGCAGCAACATAGCAGCCGATGTATTCCGCCAATACCAAATAAATTAACATTGCCATGAATATTACCATGCTAAACTTTCAGCGAGTTGTCTTAACATAACTATCTATTTTCAGGGACAGTTCATCCAAAAATGAAAATTCTGTCATTTATTGTTCAAGTGTTCAAAACCATACTTTCTTCAGAACAAATCTGAAGTCATTATTCACTGAAAATTTTGCCATGCAATTAACTAAAGCTATTAACTCAATAACAGCTGCGACAAGATCAACGCAACATGATCAATAAGTTGATCAAATCAGTCCGAATTGTGAACAAATCATTCAGATCAGTTTCTTGAACTGGATGAACCGACTAAAAAAATCTCACTCAAAAGACCATCACTACATATCCTGAAGTCATTGCAAAGAGTTTGGTGGATGTCAAAATTTTCAGTGAGCAATGACTATAATTTCGACTTATGGACCACTTTCTAACATCGCTATTGTGCTTTTGCATCCTTTTTGAAGACTGAAAGTTCTAGACTCCATTCATTATAATTGCATGTAAAAGAGCAACCAACTATGTTACAGAAAATGTATTTTGTGTTCCACAGAAGGAAGAAATTCAATATTGGAGCAACATGAAGGTGTGTAAATGATGACCAAATGTTAATTTTTCAAGGGTGAAATATTCCTTGAAGGGCTATACTCTGCTGATTAAGATCAAATTCTGTTATTGACGTTATTGACAGGTCAAAGGTTTTGACTCACATAGCTGCCAGTATGGTGACGGAACTCCAGGCCAAAGTACTCTTTCTCCAGCAGCTTTAGATGACCACACACCTTATTGAAGAAATCCGAACCCAGAATCTTTCTCTGTGGGAAGATGAAGAAGAATAAATCACAGAACAGAGAATAAAAAACTTTATACATCTTACATGACATTTCAAAATTAATACTGGTCTCAGTGCTGCTTGCATCAATGTTACTTTTGAGTGTTGTGATTGCAGTGTCACTGTGAAATTACTCAGATTTTCTTCTTTCTTCCATCTCTATTACTTGATGTGGGTGGTAATGAGACGGTGATGCGATTTGAGCAGAATGTGACTCTTAGAGCAACTTTCTCTGGTAATTGAATCTGCAGCAACTGAACTCCTCAAACAGAATTATGGGAAAGTAAGATGCTCACTGAGTCAGCCTCAAAATACAGGGTTGCTATCTGATGAATGTGTTTGTGGGCACATATGTGTGTGAGGATGTGTTCCTGAAGCCTGTATTTACTGTGACAGTGGGGCATAGAACCTCCCCATTATCCTGTCAAAGACAAGGAACATGAGAAGAAGATAGAGGGATAAAGTCTGAAACAAGCATAGAGAGGTTGAAACATAGAGCACAGTACAAAGATAGATCCTTGAAATTTATGTCAGAACATACAGACTTTGTAAATACTTGTGAAGACATAATGGATGCTTTCTTGCACTGTTTAGTCAGAACAAATAGGATTTTTATCATCATTGATCATGCACTTTAATTCAGTGCTAACTTTTTTTGTGTATCCAGGAAACACAATCTATATCAAAACACTGAACACTTTACAGAAAATGTGAGTGGTGCTTGTCTGTGCAAAATCTGATGCCATGATGCCAGGTAGAAGTGTCATTTTAATATTATTTATATACTATTATAGTATTTATTAATATGTTGAATTTGCGTTTATTCTTATATTTAAAATTTTCCATTTTAGTTTAATTTTATTTTACAATTTGCTTATTTTGTTATGTGCTTTTGGCATTTGTATTAGTTTTGGGGGTTTTAAAAATACAGTATGCCTTAGTTTATTATTATTAGTAATAGTATTAGAGTAGTAGTAGTAGTAGTAGTAATAATTTTAATACTTCAGCTTACAGTATTTTTCACTGCCTCTTTACTAATTGCCTGTTTTGCCTGAGGATAGGGGGATGTTGGCATGCTCTCTGGAATGAGGACACTCGCTGGCCACAATATTTACCCCTATTCAGACAAGCACATGCCTCACGGCCACTAACTAATTCACTCTCTGTCTTTTTTTTCTGTCTATCCCAAACCCCCCCCCCCCACACACACACTTTATATCTCACCTACTTTTTCTGACTGGTAGGACAAGATTGAGCTGTGTAAAAGCAGTGAAAACCCCCAAGCATGTACGCACACACACACAGCATCCCCCATGAAGCAGAAGCAGCAAGAGGATAATGGGACATGAAATGATGCTCCTTTACAAGCAAAATACAGCTGGACCAAATGTGAGAGAATCCACACACACACTACACACAAAACACATGACATAAAACACACACACACACACACACACATGTATCTACATTTTACAATTATTTACTTTAAATCAAATTGTATAGAAACTTATAAATGTAAATAATTGTAAAATGTTGATAAATAAGTGATTAAACGTCATAATTGTGTATCGCCCTAGTTACCAGCTACACCATACATTAAAGAAACTCTTGTACTTCAGTGATTACAAAATGTAATTATAGTGTAGACTTGTTGTAACACTTTTTACTTCACTGAATATTTCACAGGGTAGGGTTATTTTTGAAAGTCAATGTTTGTATAGGCACATAGCTTGAAGTCTCGGCTACAAAAAAGCTGCATTTCCACAAAGAAAAAAAGAAGAAGAATCACTGAACACATTCTGTCCTTTTTCTGATAGTATGCCTTAATAGAGACACACTATATGCAATAAAATGTAAACTATAAAGCATAAAAAAAGAAAAAAAAAGATCCCACACAAGTGAAAAACAAAACATACAAATATATCAAACCATTATTTGGGCAACAAGTAAATATGTATGTAACAACTTTCCCCAATCTGCCATTTATGAAAACTACAGTTTATCTTTCATTTAAAATCTACCTTCATTATACAGTTGATTCTAGTCTGAAATGTGGCTTTATTGTGTTCACTTGTTTAAACAACAGATAGGCCAAGGCTATAGCAAAAATGTTATGCTACTAGTTAGTTTGAAGACAAAATTCTAATTTAGGACAGCAAACAAAACCACTGCTATAGAAACAAGCTTCTGGATCTTATAGTTACCCATAGCCCCCTAGTGACAACTTGCCCCGGTCTGTATATATATATGATCTCTCACCTCCACCTCGAAAACTCTCTCGCTGTCGTCTAAAACGATGACCGGTAATCGCAGTTTCTCATTCTTCTTCTTCTTCCGCACAACTGTCCGATTGACAGGTGTCTTCTGCAATTCGAACTTATCCCCCATCTTCTGTGCATCTGTTTAGGGTTTAAGCACCACACTTTTGTGTGATAATGTGTGGTTTTAATAAATAATAAATGTTAAAATAATTTAATAAATAATAACTGTTTTTGGGCCCATAATGTGTGATGTTATCCGTTTGATGCTGTAGTGAGGGAGTTGCGCGCTGCGGTCTCGTGACGAGTGTTCAAGCATCCTGTTCTTCAACTGAGCAGCATCAGCAGCACTACTGTATCCGAGCTCAACCCAGAGCATCACATGCTTCACACCACACCGCAGCCACACACACACACACACACACACACACACAAACAATAATATTGTAAAACATTATTACTATTTAAAATAATTTTTACTATTTTAATATATTTTAAAATATAATTTATTTCTGTGATGCAAAGCTGAATTTTCATCAGCATCATTACGCAGTCTTCAGTATCACATGATCCTTCAGAAATCATTCTAATGATCTATTATCAATGTTGAAAACATTGTGCTGCTTAATATACGGAACCTGTAACATTTTTGGATTATTTGAAGAATAAAGTTAAAAAGCATTTATTTAAAATAGAATTTTTCTAACAATATAGGTCTTTATTATCACTTTTTATCAATTTAGCACAATAAATAAAAGCTTTCGTTTCTTTCAAACAAGAAAAAAAAAATTACTGATCCCAAACTTTTGAATGGTAGTGTATATTGTTACAAAAGATTTCTATTGTTGAATAAATGCTGTTATTGTTAACATTTTATTCATCAAATAATCCTAAAAAATTATCACACTTTCCAAAAACAAATATTAAGCAGCAAAACTGTTTCCAGCATTGATGATAAATCAGCATATTAGAATGATTTCTGAAGGATAATGTCACACTGAAGACTGGTGTAATGATGCTGAAAATACAGCTTTTTCATCAGAGAAATTTAAATTTAAAATTATATTTTAAAGTACATTCAAATAGAAAACCTTTATTTTAAATTGCAATAATATTTCACAATATTACTGTTTTTTCTGTATTTCTAATCAAATAAATGCAGCCTTGATGAGCAGAAGAGACTTTAAAAAAAACATTACAAATCTTACTGATCCCAAACTTTTGAACGGCAGTGTGTGTGTGTGTATATATATATATATATATATTACATTTTCGCCAAATATAGAAATATATATATATATATATATATATATATATATATATACACACGCCAAATAATGGGCTGAAATTGTTTTGTGTTTCAGAAATGTTTGCAGTTTAATTTTTGCTGAAAGTTTAAAGCTGAAACTTACCTAATAGCGGGGCATGTTGTCACAAAAGGTCTACATGTGACCTGTTTTTCCCCCTTGGAATTTTTCAATGGCTTATTTATGTATTCTTTTTTGAAGTCAAGACTTGCAGATATGTGCCTACTCGGAAATTAAAAAAATAAAATAAAATAAAAACTATCCTGAGAAATATTCAATAGAGTAAAAATGTGGCAACTAGCCCCAGTCTTCCATATATTGTATTATGGCTATAATATCTGTGGCATGACAAAAGAGAGTAAACCCGTATTTTACGGTTCACGACAGGTTACCATACAAGCATTACTCTATGCATCTCTAACAAAGCTAACATTGGTAGAAATTCTAGTTCAGAGAAATCACGTCAGCTGCAACTCCTAATATTTTCCACGAGGTGGCAGTATTTCCAAATGAATTCCAAAGCAACGACCCAGGTGAAAACAAATACTGTAACTAGTTTCATGTCTGGAAAAAGCGTATACAAATGTAAGATGACATGGAGATCAAACAACGAATTAAAACATGCCAATCTCACAAAAAAAACGTCACACAACTGATCTCTTTCTCAGCTTTTGTGCTCTGTATTCCTCGGCAGGTGAATATAATCTCTTGTTTTGATACGGCAGAGCGGAACCTGTGAAGGGAGCTGAAGCCCGAGCTGACCAGCTGCTACTGTTCCATCACACATCATCATCATCACCGGTTCTTTTAGATTTTCCGAGCACCTGTCTGTCTGTGTGTTTTCCACCGTGAATTCTGAGGCCCGTTTACGGCGACACATTTTTTTCTCTCCTTACGCACACATTTTGCCACAGAACTGCAGCCTAAAAAACAACTAGGCCTAGGAACGTCAGAAAGATGTTTATATGAAGATGTAGCCTAAGTTGTATTTGTACAACTTAATAAAATTAATAACCCCCAAAGCTGAACATAATAGCTAAACCAAATACTGGGCCACTTCTTAGCAATTGTCACTAAATGAAAAGCAAATCAGCTCTAGCCCAGCAAGTTAAAAGGGAACGTTCTGACAAGGGTCTCTCGATGAACATTCTTCCAGTAACATTAATAGAATGATTATCCAAAGATATCTGGTCTTTAATAACGTTTTCAGAATGTTAGCACAGAAACATTATTTACACATTGTTTATGGAACATTTTTCTGAAATATGTTAGTTGGATGTTACGCTAACGTTTTTTTAAATGTTTACTACTTATTAGTATCAGATGGCTCAGGAAACATTCAAAAGTAATATTCCCGTAATGTCTGCAAAGTTATAAAATGGAACATTTACTTACTGTTGTCTCTAATGTTCACATAACCATAAGAACTGGATGTTCTGAACTAACTTACTAACTTAATGGGACCGTTAGCAAAACGTTCTTAAAACTAATTTTGTTAGGTTTGCGGTTGACTCATATGACAATTATGCTTTTTCTCTTTAGCAGTTTTGTGTGTTAGTTTCAAACACCTACTTCACATGCCTGGGGCATGTTGTCACAAAAATAGTGTAGAATGGACCATTTTTTTCCTGGACAGTAATGGTGAAAATGTTAAATATAGGCAGTCAAGATTTTAAAAGGGTATTTACACTTGATGACTTTGCATTATTTTGATCAGATAGCTGATCAAGTGTAAATGCCTTTCAAGGCACATGCAAGATGTGAATGTAGATCTGTAATAGAAGCACATGTGGATATGGTTCACTTAGGTGAACTCATAACTGACTTAAAAAAAATGTCAGTGGCTATCTGCACTGTGCAAATAGCGTTAGATGCTATTTACACTAAGTGGAAATAGCAATGGATTCTATTTACACTAAATGAAAATAGCAGTATTTTCTTAGTGATATGCTATTTACCCTGAGTGCAAATAACAATAGATTCTATTTACACTATGTAAAAATAGCAGTATTTTCTTTGCAATAAATGTAAATAGTTGTTAGAGTATATTGCAGATATTTGCACCTCAGTATTGTAGTACATTATAAAACATATGCAATAATAACTTATTTAATGCAAATTATCATTTTTTATTAAAGTTATCAAAACCTATCCCTAACCCTACCCGATAAACACATTATTATTAAATATGTGATCTGATATGTGATGGGAAAAGGGAAGAACAGGAGAAGAACGAGTTCAGTAAAAGGCGGATTTGAACTCGGGTCAGTTGTGTCAAAAGTTACCGTCAAGCGCCTTACTGCATACGCCACTCCTGCTGTTGTTAAATAGGCATCTTTTGTAATGTCATCCAGCTCAACCAGAATTGGTGGGCAGATTAGTTTAAATAGCTTCTGCCAACAAGGACTTGCACTTAGTGTAAATAGACACTCTGTAAAAAAAATACCCTATCTTAAAAAAAGAGTTCACTGAAGTAAAAAGTGTGCGCTCCACCTATTGCTCTCTATGTCGTTGTGTGTGTACTGATGTGTGTAAATGGCAAATTGTCTCATCCAATTTTTTCTCCCACTTTAAATTTTTTATTCCTTGTTATTACTCATTTTCCACTTGAAGGATATAAAAGCACAAATGCCCAGAAAGGGTTACTACAAAATGTCAAGGGTGTCATTTGGAAAATGTCATACACCGCCTGGCATGAAAAGGGTGATATATTTTAGAGCTCTTCTGTTAATTTAGTAAGCAGTCAGTGGTCCTCTGGTTCATCTCACCCTGGGGGTCTGAGAAAAAATAGACACTGGAAAAGGTCTAAACCATTCCAGTCACTTTGCCCCTGATGATTAATTCACCTACACACTCAAATCAAGGTATTTAGCCAAACATCTGTATTAAACTGGCTTCCCATTAGCTAATCCCCTATGGTTGCTTTCCCCCGTTTGCACAGATGTCGTTTAAAGTTGAAGACCTGCATTTTGTCTGGCTTCTGGTGGTTCAGTTTATGCGGTTTATCATTCTGCTCATCAAATTTGCACTGGATGTTTGGCATCTAATGGTACTGGACCAGAACAATTTTTATGTTGAAGCAAACAGTTAGCCTTTGTTTGTAGATAATGTTGCACAGTAGATGCATAAAAGCATCTTTCTCCATTTACAGCCGTTCAAAAGTAGCGGTATTTTAATTTTTTCTTGCAAGAAACATTAATTTTGAAAGTTTGGGGTCAATGGTTTTTTTTTTTTTTAAATAAAGTAATACTTTTATTCAGCAAGGATGTGTTAAATTGATTTTCAAATAACAGTAAAGACATTTATAATGTTACAAAAGATTTCTATTTCAAATAAATACTGTTCTTTTGAACTTTCTATTCATCAAATGATCCTGAAAATTGCCAATTACATTTTTAAATGTATTAAGACAGTTATTTTAAATTGTAATAATATTTAACAGTAACACTATTTTTTTACTGTATTTTGATCAAATAAATGCAGACTTGGTGAGCATAAGAGACTTCTTTCAAAAACATTAGATTTTTAGACCTTTTATTCAAAACCCACTTTATAATGTGACGAGAGAAACAGGATATTCACATAAAAAAATGTAAAGTGAGACTTGATGAAAGATAATCAAGAATTAAGAATGTGTATTAGAAAAGTAAATAGTGTCGAGCTAGTGAGTTAAAAAAGGGATTTATGAGTGAATCATGTTACATATCTCTAAATGTCCTTCCCTGAAGAAAGAAACTTAATCTATGTATGAAGATGTTCACAAGAAAATTTCCTCAGAGTGGTCCAGCAAATGTATATGCAGCCCTCAGGTATGGCACGTCTA